GCGAACCTAGCCGTCGACGAGAGCAGGAGCTCTGCTCGCCGCTGCTGTAACGTCCACTGGAAACCCCTGCGTTGAGGCGCAGATCGCAAGACCCAGGTTCCCCTGTTTGGCGTCCAAGCTCCTCCTTTTTCCCTTTTCTTCTTTTCGTCAATAATTGTGAGGCTTCCTTCTCCGTCAGTCAGTTCACCGTCGATAGGTGTGTGAATTCCAGCCATCACCATCAAGTCTTCATCTTCTCTGTTCGGACATCGGGTTCCTCTTTCCTCTTCGAGCATCAGCAATAATCTGGTGCGTAACCTTTCTAGTGTGGATGTTGGGTGCATCAGACTTTTCCCTCCCTTGTTTCAATGTCGACTGCCTGATCTCTTCTCCTTCCTCATATTCACGCGGTGACACTTTCTTCTCCATATGGTTCTGAATCCGCTGATCTGTGTGTACTGTTGGAGTTTTAAGCTCTGCCTTTCATTTGTTTCAACTGATCGGGTGAGTAAATCTCACCTCTTGCTTCCTTGCTTGATCTGTCTATTTGTACATAGGTGTTTTATGGCTAAAGCTGTGAGTATTGCTTCCTTGTTGCTGCGTGCATACCATTTTGGGTTGAGATTGTGAATTTTCCTCCATTTTTCTGCAAACTGTGAGTAATGTGCAAGGCTGGAAATTTGATTTTTCTTGAGTATTAAAAATTTATAATTACTGAAGGATTTAAATTGGAAAGCTGGATTATTTCAATTATAAATATTAGAAAATTTGGAAAATGAAATTTGAAGAAAAGGAAGTTTGAAATTTGTCAAAGGACTCATGCTTATGAGGTGTTTGATAAGTTGCCTTTAGGAGAGTCTTGCTCGATTTTTATGTTTCTGAAGTTTCATTAATTATTGTGAGAAGTATATTTAGTTTAGGTGTTATTAATTCATGAATTTAACTTGTAGGTTGCAAGTCAAAAGAATTGGATTACGAATTTGCATGTAACTACTTAAATTCTTGAGGATAGTATGGTAATTTATAATTACTGGATAAAAGATGGAAGGTTAGAAAATTCTATTTGTATGGCCGAAAATAATGTACCTAAAGTGTTTGATGTAAAGCCTAAGAGAAAATTTTATCTCAAGCAAATAGGTTGGTATGGCTAAAGAATTATGTAAGATATTGGTGACTTGAATGGTAATATTTGGACATTGTTATTTATAAATCTAATTGAGTTCTTGCAAAGGAGTTTATTTAAGAAGTAATTGAAGTCTTATTTGAGTTTTGGATTATTGAGAGTTGCAAAATTGAAAGGTTATAAAGTACATATCATTTTAGAAGTTATACTTGGATGCTTGAAAATGGATAAGCAATAGAATTAAAGGTTTCGTATTTTATTGAATGGTTTGGAATATTGCACATTAAATGTTTCGTAAAAAGCCAAAAAAAATATTTATGAATGAATTGTGTTCTTAGAACTTCAAAGTTATTATTGTTAACTTTAGTTGAGTGGGTTCTCTCGAAATGGGATTTTGTTGGTTTAAAAAAAAATAAAGTCCATTAAAATATTATTATTATATATTATAGGATGTTTGGAAGAATGGAAGCTCAAATAGAGTCATAAGAAATGAGTTTGGAGCCTTGAGGATACTACAGGTAGGATCCTCGCATTTCTTTTAAAATTGAATATTTGATTTAATATTGTAACAATTTTTAATTACTCTATTAGTGTATTTGACATTTTAATTTCAGAGTTTCTCCAATCACGGCTTAAGGGATATGAGTTTTGTACCCATATCTCGTGCCGATCATACCTGATTTTTGGAGTGTGACAAAAGGTATGTTTCTGCACTCCATTTTCTTCAGGTCCAAATCAAATTAAATCACCATTGATCCAAACATACCATTAAGTATTTCTATGATTGTAAAATACACCTTGAGAAATATCAATTAAGGTCATGGTTGGTAGAATGAGTTTTCAAACTAATAATCATTTCCTATCAAATAAACCTTGTGGTTATAAAGTGGTGTTTGTCTTTTTGAAAAAAATGTATTAGAAAATTTCAGATAAATCTCTTTTCCTTGAAGATGGCTTCCAAAGCTTTGAATTGAGCTAAGGATCACCTAGATATGATATTGTCTAAGATTTATTTTATGAATTTATAAAGTTACCATAAAATACAAAAGCCAACAAATAGAGAGTAATAAAAAATATTATAATTTTTAATAATGTCTAATTAAAATATTATAATTTATATTCTATAATTTGTGTGGTATTATTACTTACACATTTTCTACGCATAGTTTTCAAGTCAACTCTTATGACATACAAATTTCTAAAAGAGGACTTGTAGATTTTGAAGGATGACTTATAATTTATCACATTATTTTAATTTACAATTCAATTAGGATGAAAAACATGTTCACCTAGGGGATTTATAAATGGGAGAATCTCATCTAGGGCCTTTAAGGGAGAAAAAATTTCACTTAGAACCTAATGCATTTTGAAATTATTCTGTAGGCCGAAGGGCCTTTTTTGCAAATATGTTTTAGGGAGAAAGGACACAATTGCCCTTAGTGAGAAAAGGCAACAAGTACAAGTTCATATTTTTACAATTACTTATTCATGAATTCATAACTTTAGGTTCACATATTAACAAGTAATTATCCATTGAAAGTGAAATTCTTGTTTAGAGTTGATATATTTGTCTTGGCCAACTTAATAAATTTACAACTTAAAGTTTAAATATTTAGAAGTACTACTCACAAATCAAAGTACAAAATTTATGACTTTATATATTCAAAACTAAAGTTTATCAGGACAGCAAGTTCAGATTCTTACAACTAGATGTTCAAAAATTCACAACTTTAAGTTCACATATTAACAAGTAATTGTCCATTTGTAATGAATCTAAAGTTCTTTCTTTCTCACTAAGGGTAATTATGTCTTTTCTCCCTAAAACATATTTGTAAAAAGGGCTCCTAGGCCTATAGAATAATTTCAAAATGCATTGGGCCCTAAATGTAATTGGTTTCCCTTGGGGGCCCTAGATGAGATTCTCCCTTATAAATTATTAAATATTAAAATATATAATATTTTACTAAGATGTTATTAAAAAAATATAATATCTTTTAAATTACATATAAGTGTTTCTTGTATTAGTGATCCGATAATCACTTGGTAGTTGGTCAAAATAGTTGGTTAAAATGGTAATGTTTTTTGTATTCTATATGGGTAAGAAATAATGCTAATCTATTGGGATTTAATTGTTTGTAATTTATGGGACTTAATCAGTATAATCGCTTTTGCTATAATTTTTGGGTTATTTCCTGTAATTTTTCTAGTCTTTCTATGCAATTTTTTAGGTTAGCTAATGGTCAAATTAATGAATATTGAACAGAGGGTTAACATTACTCTATTATTAACACATAAGAGGCAACATCATGTCTGGTGTACCAAAAAACATTTCAGGGAAAATTCATACTTTAACCCTATTATATTTACATTGCAATTTGGTTTATGTGATATCAAATGGTGCAAAGAAGTGAAGAAGGGAATAAAGAATTGGAGAAGCATTGGGTGATTTTGGGAGGTTTGAAGTTGCATAGGGTGACATTGGTATGACCATTGTGATATAAGGGTTCATATTTTGTTTCAAGTTCTTATAGATGTGGTGAATCCATTTGCAAGTCCATTTTGGATATTGAAAGTGGGGCAAGCATTTTTGGATGGTTTGAATTGATTTAATTTTTAATTTTTAGCAAATATAATAAACATGCACAAGACTGATTTAATTTTGAGTTGTATTGCATTACTCATAAATTTTTAAATTAAGTTTGTCCCAGATATGCAAATTTTCATAAATGTGAAGTCATAGCTTGAAACCTCCATTGATGGTCTCTTCTGTAGTTGCTATTGTTAGGACCTGATAATTATATTTACATTGCAATTTGGTTTACGTTATATCAAATGGTGCAAACAAGTGAAGAAGGGAATAGAGAATTGGAGAAGCGTTGGATAATTTTGGGAGGGTTTAAAGTTGCATAGGGGTGACATTGGTATGCCATTGTGATATAAGGGGTTATATTTTGTTCCAAGTTCTTAATAGGTGTGGTGAATGCATTTGCAAGTCCTTTTTGAATATTCAAAGTGGGACATGCATTTTTGGATGGTTTGAATTGATTTAATTTTTAATTTTTAGCAAATATAGTAAGCATGCACATGATTTATTTTATTTAGAGTTGTATCACATTAGTCATAAAATTTTAAATTTTGTCACAAATATGCAAATTTGTATGTGCCACATATAAAGGAGAAAATGTCAAGGAATTTTTATTAATGACATAAATGTGATGCAGTGCTAAAACTTTCGTACTTTTTTATAAATGTGAAGTCATAGCTTGAAGCCTCCATTGACGGTCTCTTCTGTAGCTGCTAATATTAGGACCTAATAATTACTTTCTAGTTATCCTCAAAGAAGAGGAGGAAGAAAGAATTGCATAATGGAATGATGCTCAATAACGCAAATCCCAATATATGGCTAACCAGGTCGTCACAAAAACCTTTAGGTATATATCTAAATCTGTATCTTATAAAAAGCCATTTAGAGAATGTGTGACTCGAATGGATGTCAGAAAAAATTATTTAATTACTCAAACATAATACAATTTAAGTGGGCTTTCCTCTAATAACAAGATATGTTTCTGGAAATATAAACAACGGACATGTAGAGAAGAATAAGAAAAATGTAGGGCTCACATTGATTAATTTAGAAAAATTTTCTTACAAAATCAAATCCAAACTGTATATAATTACTTGAAGAAAATGAATGGACTTTGGGGTATTATAGTATTCAAACCCATAATGTTAAAAGAGAAAAGAAACAACAAAAACAAATCCAAAAGTTATATAATCAAGAAAATTTTAAATACTTTGTATATTATTACAGCACATGGAATCACTCCAATTTACAAGATTACTTGTTCCAAAAAGAAATCTAAGGGCTGAAGAAATAATAGTTAAAATTTTTTCCAATGAAACGAAGCACTAAAATTTTAGCTATTATTCAACTAGTAGGGTCCCAACATTTTCTTGAAGCGAAGCCTTGATTTTTTTTCAATGATACAACAACATCAGTCATAGTAAGTCTTGCGTCAAGTAAATCAATGCAACAATTTAATGCTAACTCAAAAACTGATGATATATGTGGTAATATATTATTAGTATTTTGATTTTCTTTGTGCAGCAAATTGGCATCTATAATGCTAAAGATTGAGTGTGATGTTGATTTTCTCACCCAATCTCTCAAACTTAATCCTTGAACAAACATCTGATGTGTCGGCTTCTTCCTTGTAAAGATTTCCATTAGCAAAATACCATAACTATACACATCTCCTTTGATTGAAACAACTCCTTTCGATCCATACTCTGTTTTGCAAATTTGAACAATTAGCATAAAAGTCATGATGTCAAAAACATAATATAAGATGTGGTTAAACTTTTCTTTTGTATTATCAATTCAAATATTTACACATGAAGACATACAAATCAAATAATATAAAATTTAATAAAGCAAAAGAAACAAAAAAACATATAAATAAATTCAAAAAAAATATTATTAAGCCATTACCCGGTGCCATATAGCCAATTGTACCCAGAGTTTTTGTATAAATTTCCTGTTGTCCTTCACCAAACAATGTAGCAATACCAAAATCACTAAGATGAGCTACCATATCTTCATCCAACAAAACATTGCTTGGTTTCACATCACAGTGAACAACAAGTGTCGCAGAACCGTGATGAAGATACTCCAAAGCAGCTGCCACATCAATCATTATGTTCAACCTTTGCAAGACATTTAAATAATAGTTATGAGAGTATAACCATTTGTCTAGACTCCCATTTTCCATGAATTCCATTATTAGAGACTTGAAATGATTATTTGAGCAACAACTGATGAACTTAATGAGATTACGATGGCGTAAATTGCATATGGCAGCACATTCAATATCAAAACTTCTTAATACATCTTCCATTTCTAACTTAAATACTTTGACAGCAACTATTTTTGAGTTTGGAAGAGTTGCTTTGTGTACTAATCCAAAACTTCCAAAGCCCAGAAGATTACTTTCATCAAATCCATTTGTTCCATGCCAGAGTTCATAATAGGATATCCTAGTTGGTGTCTCAAAATTTAACAAGTCCCTATTGGTTGAATCATTAACATGATCTCTCTTACGCATTAGAAAGACAAGGCTTGAAACAACCAAAATGACAACCATGCATATGATAGGCAACGAGCACTTGATCAATAGCTTCAATTTATTTGACATGTGCTTGTGTTCTTTCCTACATGGGTGAACTTGTAATTTTGACTTCCCACAAAGACCATTATTCATCACAAAAGATTCAGCAGTGAAATTTTGAAAAGGCCCCCCACTTGGAATTTCTCTATGCAATAAATTATATGAAAGATTAATGTATTGAAGATGGATTAATAACTCTAAGGATTTTGGAATCACACCAGACAGATAATTATGGGAAAGATCCAAAGATTCCATATTTATCATGTTGCCAAGCAATTCAGAAATATTCCCTTGTAATTTGTTTTGAGCCAAAGATAAGGTTTGCAAAGTTTGTAGCCTACCCATAGTGGTGGGGATGCTTCCTGAAATTTGATTTCTTGACAAGTTCAATAGTATAATTGTTCTCAAGTTTGATACCTCTGGTGAAATTATTCCACTCAATGCATTGGAGGATATGTCTAAGACCAAGATATCTTTGAGACTCCAAAGAGAAGAGGGTATATGAGAAATCAGTTTGTTAGAGCTAAAATTCAGCTTCCGTAGAGAAGAAGTATTCCCAAAGCATTTTGGAACTCCTGAAAACATGTTGTTGGCAAGATACAACTCACTTAGATTTTTGAGTTGACAAAGTTCATTTATGATGGACCCATGCAATCTGTTGCTGTTGAGATTTAAGCGTTGAAGACCATGTAATTTGTTAACTGTATGAGGAATCAACCCACTCAAATTGTTCCCATCCAAATTTAATTCCATCAAGTTTGTTAAATTTCCAAATACATTGGGTATAGCACCGCTGAATTTATTAAATGACAAATCTAACGTAATGAGCTTAGAAGCATTTGATATGCTGTTTGGAATTTGTCCAGTTAGCTCATTCTCATCCAGCCATAATTTATTCAAGTTAGGAAGGCCAGTTCCTAAATATGATGGGAGAAGGCCAGAAAGGAAATTACCAGAAAGCTGTAAAATTGTCAATGTTGAAATGTTGAATATATTGGAAGGAATTGCTCCTTTTAAATGATTACTGCTCAAGTCTAAGATATTAAGGTTATTAAGTTCGCCTATGCCTTTATGTACAAAACCTGCACACACACGCAAAAAATTAATGGAAATCATGTCTTTTATATAGATCAGATAAGAATATAAATATACACACGCATATAAGTAAAATTTCTTTTATTAGTTTTATATTCTTTCTAAAATTTTTAAAATAAAAATATTAAGGAAATCATAAACTACTGTTGAGATGCCATGCTTATAGAATATTTATTCTAAACAAAAAATTTATGTTGTTATTGTTGCAAAATTAATAAGTAAATTCTATACAATAGAAGGAAACAATTAAAAAAGAGAATTAAACCGGGAAATGATGTATTTTTTAATAAAGAGGAGAGAAAAAATAGAGTTAAAATTGATAGGAGAGCGATAAAATCTGCGCATGTACAGATATATATAATATGTGGGCACATTAATGCTGTGATTGGCGAGAGAAAAATGATGGGGCAAGATAAAAGAATGGGAGAAAAGCCAGAGAAAAACTATATTTTCTCTTGCTCAGCTTTGAAATTAATGAATTTTCAAAATAAAAAATTGAAATAGAAGTTAAATAGATAAAGAATATATGCATTCTTCAATAAAAGGGATTGGAAGAAAATATAAAATCAAAGTTATTAAGGGAAAGATAAAATCTGAAAAAGGTACTGGCATAAACATTTGTGCCCATATCATGATTGGCTTGAACTAGCTGTATACAAAGCCCCTTTATATGAAAGAAAAGTTTAAAAACAAAAATCCGGTTTTAGATTCACTCGATTTCAGAAAAATATTAAGAAAAAAAGAAAACATAATATAAGTACATACCAATCTATAAATGATCAGTTACCATCAAAAGATAATTCTTTTAAAGACGTGCTACTTATCGAATTTAGAATTCTTCCCCATAATTATTACCAAACAAAAAAAGAATTCTTCCCCTTAATTGATTATAACTAATTAACGCAAAAGATTTCAAGCAAAGAGAGTTGATAGCATATTTCTTCTGGAAACTTCAATAAAATAATGTTTTTATGTTTGAATAATTATTTGTAGGAAATTGATAAATTTGTGAAATAAGAAAATAAATTTTGAAAAAAATTGGAAAAGAAAATTAAAGAGGGAAATGATGGACAGTAAGGGGAGATTTAAAAAAAAAAATAGGGTTGAGGTTAATAGGAGAGTGATAAAACTGTCAAGTATTTAAATAAATAAGGGAGGGAGGGGATATTCTTATAAATTTTAATAGAGAGGATATATAAATTAAAAGAGAGAGAAAAAACAATTAAAATATTTTTATCTCGCTTCTCCTTTTTCTAAATTAAACCCATTAGAATCTTCCCTCCCTCATCTCCATTTTCCCTATAAATTATATACTATTTAAATAATTTTTTGTTTATTGCATTTGGAAGACAAAAATTAAACGAGTAAGAAAAAATATTAAAATATTTTAATCCCAATTCTCTATTTTTTAAAAAATTAAACTCATTACAATCAAACATTAGTGTGGACGCATTATATTTGACGTGGAGTCTTTTGATTGTTCAAATTAGTAGAAATGATGGGGTAGTCCCATCAATTCATGATATGGGATTGTAATCACAAGTTATATGCCTATATATAAGCCCTACTGTATTGATGAACAATATTAATGAACGAAATGATTAAAAAAAATTAATCTCATTTTAATTTCACTCTTCTAGAAAGAATGATCTAAGAGGGGGGGAAAAGAGAAAATCATAGAGTACCATCAATTCATGATATGATATTTTGTTATTTTGGGGTTGTAAATCACTAGCTAGCTATTTGTTATTTTGGAATTGTAAATCATTAGCTAGCTATATTAAGTCCCCACTACGAATACATATTTATAATTTTAATGAAATGAAAGAAAAACCAAATATCATTTTCAAATTATTCTCTGGGACAAAAAAGTTAAAAACCAAGAAAATAATAAAAAATATATAATAATCTCATGCTTCTAAAGAAGTTGGAATCCAAATATAATTAAGCATCAACTCTAATAAAAAGACTGAATGGACTTGTAAAAAGAAAAATAAAACAGGTCATAATTTTTGCATATAATATACATAAGATACATATATAATGTAAAAGTGATAGATAATAACATTTTCATAACAGTACGGACTTTAGATTACAAGAGAAACAAAACAGTAATACAACTTTGCATATAATATACATATATACCATCATAAAAAACGACACATCTCTTGCTAATTCCAGAAATTTGAATAATTGTGTATTACTAAATAATCATGTGTGGCATAAGGCATTAAACTACTTTAGTTTTTCGGCAAAATTTTTTTGACATAATTGAAGTGAGAAATTATCAAGTATACTTTACGCAACAGAAAAAAAGGTTCCACATCATATGTAAGAATTCACATGTTTTTTGTGTGTGTCTATTTTGGATATTTGTTTCAATTTCAAATTAGATAATTGTTCAAAAATTAATATATGAAAAATTTTAATTTGAATAGTATTATTTAATTTCGTTTGAACGTGTAGAACAGTTCCTCTTTAAACCCAAATGCATTAAAATGAAGCACTCTAATTATTTGTTTGACCATTGAAAATAGCTCATATTCTGGTTCATTAGTCTAAGTTCATATATGGTTGAACTAGTTTTTTTGAGTTGGCTTTAATATTTTTATTTAATTTCTATATTATAATTTGTAATTAATTTTTATAAGCTTTTAAATAATTTTTTATTCTAATTTTTTAATTGTTATGTTTTAATTTTAAGAAAAATATCAAATGTAATGTTAATTTTAATTAAAGAATATAGAGTTGTAACAATTTATATATATAATAAATGAGAAAAAAACAAAACTCCAAGCTTTTATGTATTTTAATGTTAGAATTTATATTAATCTTACTCTATCATGAAAATATTATTAAATCTGGTATGTTTAAGAATAAGTCTAAAACTTATGCTAAAAATAAAAAATCTAATTTTAAGTAATACCCGTTTCAACTACAGAAGTTTAATGAATTTACAAGATAAAAAATTAAAAAAATAAGTTAAACTGATTAACAATGTGTTAAGGGGAGAAAAAAAAATGTAAGATTGAAGTTACTAGGAGATACAAAATCTAAAAATAAAAGTAATGGTATCTTAGATTTACTCCATTTCAAAAGAAAAAAAAACAAAAGATTAAGAAAAATGGAAACATAAATATAAGTACATTGTGTAAATAAATTACCACCCAAATACAATTCCTTCCAAGATGTGGGATTAGTTATTGATTTAGCAATACTTCCCTCTAATTGATTATTATTATTATACAATTAGCAAAGATTTCTAGTAAAGGGAGTTGATGGAACAATTCTTCAGGCAAATTACCATTTAAATAATTCATGCAAAAGCCAAACTCTCAAAGAAGACATGTTCCAAAACTTTAATTTAAGTAGTTATATTAATTTTATAAAGAATTGAAAACGTGTGGAACAGTTCCTCTTTAAACCTAAATGAATTAAAATGAACCAATCTCTTTTGACACGCAGTGTGCCTCTTTTGTCTAAGTAGTCTTTAATTATTTGTCTGACTATTGAAAATATCTCAAATTCTGATTCATTAGTTTTAGGCTTTCAGCTCAAAAATGGTTGAACTAGTGTTTTTGGGTGGCATTTAAATTTTTTATTTACTTTTATTATTATAATTTGTAATTGATTTCTCATACGTATTTAAAAATTTTTTATTTATATATAATGAATAAGAAAAATACAATTCCAAACTCGTATGTATTTTAGTGTTATTTAAATATAAAACTTACTCTATCATACAAAAATTATCAAATATGATTAAATCTAGAATGTTCAAGAATAAGTCTGAAAATTATGTTAAATATAGTAAAAATAATTTGAAGTAATACTCGTTTCAACCGTAGAAGATTTAATGAATTTGCAAGATAAAAATATTGAAAAATTTAAATGAATAATCTAAACAGATAGAATATCTTCTTAAATAAGGGGAGAAAAAAATATAAAAATAAAGTTATTAGGAGACGCATAAAATTTTACAACAAAGGTAATGAAATTTTAGATTTACTCCATTATTTCAATATGAATAAGAAACAAGAAATTATGAATGAAATGATGAAAAACAAAATCCTGTTTTAGATTTACTCCATTCAAAAAAGAGATTAAAAAAATAGAAAAATAAATATAAGTACATTATACATACCTGTAAATGAGTTATTATCCAAACACAATTCCTTTAAAAATGTGCAATTATTTATTGATTTTGGAATGCTTCCCTCAAATTGATTACTCACAACATCAAAGATTTCGAGTAAAGGCAGTCGATGGCACATTTCTTCGGGCAAATTGCCATTTAAATTATTTATGCCAAGGCTAACCGCTCTCAAAGAAGATATGTTCCAAATGAATGAAGGAATTCCACCTAAACAAAGTTCAAAATGATTGTTTGTTGTTAGTGCTCATAAGACTGGCAATTCCCCAAATTTTCACACTGTGATATACGTAATATGTGGAAATTTGTTAATTAGAGGCTTAACATTAATAGAAAAATATACAATAACCCTTTTTGGCAACTCCCTCACGTGAAAATCAAATGGATTTTTGTAAGAGCCATATGTGCAACAACTCTTCTTGGCATAAAAATTTGAAGTTATTGGTTAAGAAAAAATGAATTGCATTAAACGTATTAAGTACACTATAATTTTTACTCTTAAAGTTGTTTCAGTTAAAATTTTTGCTAACAATATCGAATAATAAGCATAATAAATAATGAAAAGTTTGTTAAAGAATAAAAGTAAGATATGGGTGGATTGTGCAAACCTGTAAAGAAGTTGTACTCTAGATATAATTTTTCTAGCAAAGTCTCATTGCCAGCAAGCAGGGGCGGAACTAGCCTTGGAAGTTGAGGGGGGCCAATTTTTTTCAAAAAATAAATTACACACACACACATATTGTTCATTTAATTTTATTATATTCTTTATAATTAATTTCTTAAAAATAATTTATAACTTTTAAAATATCATTCAATGCTATAGGTCTCTACACTTTATTTTCGATATTCTAGGTCCCTATACTTTTATTTTTTGGTATTTTAGGCCCCTTTAAAGTTCTCACACTTTGTTCATAAAGGGACCTAGAACACCTAAAAATAAAAATATAAAGATTTAGAACACTGAAAAAAAATGCAGGAACCCAAAGTAATGTTTTTTTAAAAATTTAAAGACATTACTTATAAATAAGACAAGAAATCATTCTCTTTGTCCTATAAATAAAAATAAGAGATAATATTACATATCTTTTCTGGAGGAGGGAGGGGGTTAATGTTTTTAATAGGCTAAATATTTTAAGACCCATATAAATATATGGGAATAGGAAGGAAGTTTGTGGGGGGCCATGGCCCCCTTCACTACACACCTAGTTCCTTCACTGCCAGCAAGTATTGGAAGATTACCATGCAAATTGTTTTTTCCAAAAGACACAATTCTCAGAGTAGAAATGGTAAAGAGAGACAATGGAATTTCACCTGTTACAATTTAGAAGTTAACAACTAAAATTACATTAAAGTAAGATATAATAGTTACAAGACTCTAATTAATCATTTAACTAAATTGATCTTGGGAGAATAAAAGCAAGATAATGATAGAATGAAACAGGAAAGTTATACAAAATCATATTAATTGATGGCCATTTTTTAGGAGTCAAAAAATTAATCTAACAATGATAAATATAATAAACACACACACACACACAAATATTTCCACCGGGCCTTTCCCAAATTAGATTCTTTCTACCAAGAGAGTTTTGCACCCGTCCTCCCCCCACCACATGCCCAAAAGATTTATTTCTTATTTATTCTAATATATTGATTGTCATAAAGAAAAAAATAATAATAAAAAGTCAATCTTTTTATATGTAATTGGTATTGTCCATATTACGTTAGATTTGAGGTTATATCAGGTAATAGTTTGTCAAAAAATATTACCATATGTGTACCTTTGATTTTCGTATTTGTAAGGAATTAAATACTTCATAAAAACTACACACCCACATGAAAAGTGTTGGGCAACATCTAAATAGTTTGATAGAAAAATTAAAAATTCTATTTTAGTATATTAATAACGAATGTATATTAAAAAAATATTTCAATCTTCATGAATGTGTATGAACATATCATGGATATAATTAAACTCAAAAAATTCAATTTGATCCAAAAAGTATAAAACATTCCAATTATCACTTTGCATATATGCTCTATTGGAGCCATCTACGGATAATTTTACCCAAAAAAATCATTTTTATGCACATAAAATAATTCAAGTTTTGGAAGCACAAACACGTTTTAGGAGAATATCAACTAAATTTATATTTTTTAGAACACCATTGAAGACTTGCTCAAAAAATGAAAGAAAACTCCCTTTTAAAATGAAAATGAAGGGGACTAGAAATGAGAAATAAAAGGAAAGAGAGAAACATCAAAACCCAACCAGTCTTCTTTTCTAAAATCTCTGTATGATATTGAGAGTAGATCATTACAGAGAAAACAAATAATCAAAATTGTTAACCGTTCTTAGAAACTTGTCACCCATATGCTATACAATCTTTTCAAATATATAATCTTTTAAAGATGTCTAGTTACTTAGTTGCATTGGAAATGTTTTTCGCCAATTGATTCAATATTTTGTTTCACTATTTCAAGATTTTTTTCCTTTAGAAAATTGTGCCCCTACAATTACATGAGTGTGTGTCATAAAAAAAAAACATCATATAAACATACAAAATGAATGAAACGATGGAAAGCAAAATATCATTTGAAATTTATTTTAGAGAAGATGAAAAGCAGATAAACCAATAAACATGTCACAAATATGTGTGTGTGTGTGTGTGTGTGTGTGTGTGTGTGTTGGCCCACAATGTTATGTAGGTACAAATGACTTGACATAATCAACACCCAAATATAATTCTATCATTATTTAATTCATCATAATTGACTTTGGAATTAAATATCATTATTTAAATTGCATATCTGTGACTTGTAAGGCTTACTCATTTTGAGAAACACTTCAAGAAAGTTTAAATGACAGAATAATATAAATTTATTTTAATGATAAAATCAACCCATTACATGAATGTATACTGTATAGTATGAATAAGCTGATGAAAAATAAATTCTTTTTCACATTTAATTTATTGGAGAAAAAGATTAGAAAAAATGCACTCACGCAACTACATACCTGTAAATGAGTTGGTCCTCAAATATAATTCTTTCAAAGATGAGCATTTACATATTGATTTTAGAATGCCTCCCTCTAAATAGTTATCATGAAAAAATTTTTTATTGAAGATGATAGAATTTTCACATATATTTTACATTAAATTAATCATGTTATTAGAAGCTCTCCCAAATCTCTTTAAACATTAAACAGGTATAGATGTCATAAAAGGAATAAACATAAGATATAATAGTAGAATGAAACACGAAAAGCTTTATGAAATCATTAATTCACTGGAAGTCATCCAAGAGTTGAAAACAAATATGATGTAAATATAGCAGAGAGAATAATAAAAAAATATCTTTTTATTTGAGAATTGGATGTGTCATCAAAATTACTTTGCCACAATACTCTTCTAGTAAAGAATAGACCTAGATTCCTCTACATGATCCTTGAAGGATTATATCTAGCAAACCAAATAGACTAGTTTAGAACAAAGACAATTATAGATATTAAAATAATCTAAAATACTTTTTAAAATCTCTCTTTTGATAAATTGTTGTTACACAATTTCAATAACTCAATTGAAGAAAAGTTGGAAATTGTTGTTGAAATCATTCCTGATGAAAATTTGTTGCCCACAACTTAACTTATAAAATGATACTACCTCCATCTCAAAGTATAGGGCACTTTTGAAAGAATTTTTTCATCCCAAAATATAGGACATTTGAGTAGATTAAGGTTTCATTAAATGCACCAATTTTAATATTATCCTTCCTCTGTCTATAATTAATTTTCATCTCTTTTCTTTTCAATATATTAAATAATGGATATTTTTAAAAGTTTATATTTTTATTTTGGAAAGATAAGGTTGTTAAGTGTATTTAATGAGGTTTATTGATATGTGAGATTTTGTCTAAAAGTGTCTTATAATTTGGGACAGAGGGATATTTTTTTTGTTACTTTCTCCCTTATTCATTTTAACCTTATAATTTTTCTCTCTTCTCATCATTCTTTGCTTATTTAAATTCTGTTTCAGTATTTATCCTATTTCTTATCTCCCAAATTTTTTCAAATTATATATTTATTCATTATTAATTATTATACGAAAAACTTTAACTTGAATAGTTCTATTTAATTTCACATGGCATAATTTTAAAAGTTGAACATGTAGCACAGTTCCCCTCTAAACCCAAATGAATTAAAATGATACATTGTACTTATTTATTGATTAATGAGAATATCTCGTTAGTCGTTATGTACTCTGTTATTGTGTTTGTTTTCTTGACTGTTATAGAATAGGTTGTAATATATCTAGATTTGTATACCATTTTTTTTGTTTATTTTAATTTCAATGATTAGTGTCTAACTTGGTTTTGAACATTATTAAAAAAAGATCACTTTGTTTTGGGGGAAAATTAGTCGTAATTTTTGAGCCCAAGATATGGTTGAACTAGCTTTTTTGAGTTGTATTTAAAATTTTGATTCGATTCCTATAATATAATTTGTAATTGATTTTCTAAACTTATTTATATATCTTTGTCTATTATTAAATTTTTAATTAATCCGTTTTATGTTTTAAAGATTAAAAGTTTTTACTGAAATAATTCAATAGTCATTTCTTGGGAAAATATGAAATAAAAGGGGAAAAACACAACTCTGAACTGTATGTAATGGATGTGTTTAATGATTATAATTTTTCCATTTAATTCCTCTGTTAGTAGTTTTAAAAAATAAAATAAACTAATGAAATAATACATACAGTTCTTGGGATAATATGAGATAAAAGTTTAATGCTAATATAACGGAACAGAAGATGTGATAATTGGGCTTGGGATATATGGGCTTACATTGAAGTTCTCTAGTTAGAAAATTTACTTTTAAACAATTTAAGATTTTTTAGAAGTAATGATAACTAGTAAGACGTGAAACTTGTCATGATATAATTAGAATTATATTTATTAAATTTATATTATGTCTCACATCAAGCAATATATGTAAATCATACTATCACCATTTTATTGTAGTTTACTATATATATGAGATTTTTTTATTTTTCTAAAATTAAATATTTTTTCTTGATACAAAATAAATGTTTTGCTGGCAACACAAGTGACAAGTTACATACATATTTAAAATGCATCTGACAACCCGAAATGTGATAGCAAAATTAAAAATAGAAACAAGAAAAGCCTGTTTTAGTATATTGGTAAAAGCCTATATATGAGGAAAAAAAATCAAAACTCATCCATATACAAAGACATGTCATGGATATAATTAAAGTTAATTCCTTCCAAGTTGTTTTCTATTAAAAAAAAACCAGAAAACTTTCCTTCAAAAAGAAAATGCTGGGAAAATGAAAAATGAAAAATAAAAGGCGAGAGAGAAGCATAAAAAATCTTAGTGGTCCTCTCTATTATCGCTATCCAATTATATTAATATGGTGGAAACAAATAATGTAGATGTTACAAATCATCAAAGGTAAACATTCCTAGAAGCTTGTTGTCACCTATAAGTAAACAGATCCTTTAAAATATAATCCTTTTAAAGATGTGTAATAATTTCAGTCAAAAAAAAAAGATGTGTAATTACATTTTGCATTTGGAAAAGTTTCCACAAATATAACTAATTTAAAATTTTATTTCACCATTACATGAGTGTGTCTCGTCAGCAAGTGTGTGTAAAAAAAAAAAAAAAAAGGATCTCATTTCAAATTTGTTTCTGTCCAC